GATGTAAATTAATGTTTATACTAGTGTTGGTGCTCAGTGCTGTACAAGATCCCCTGCAACTGGAAATGCTCAGGAGGCTGTGATAGAGAAGGGATACTCTACTTGGATATTTCCTCGTTCTTCATTTGATCTGCTCAATCTGCACCTTCCCTTCTGGCGGATCTGTAGAGCAATTGATTCCACACTGATTCCTATTTTCAAATATATAGTTTGGCTCCTGATTTTGTTGCAGTGTGCTTACCCTACGTGTGTTTTCTCAGGAGGAGGATCTTTGCTGGCATAACAGAAAGTTTTAACATGTTTATGGAAAAAGTCTATAAATTATCAGCGAGTCAATGGGGAGGAAGAGATTACATTGTTTTAATGGGTACAAAAGAGTCCGATTTTTATTTTTAGCTTTTTCATGTCAGTATTATTATTGAGGTACAAGTAGCTTGCAGAAACCTTGGGAAGGAAAGTTGAAAACTTCTCTCAATTTATGATGTTCAATGCTTTTAGCTTTGCCATCGAGTTGCTTTGAGAGGATGGTTCTGTGAGTCAGGGTTTGGGAACCACTGGGCATGCGTAAGAGAACATGAAGGAGAGACTTTTACAGTGGAAGTTGGAAATTCAGCATTTTTTTCCCCTACCATACCCTGGAAATGGAGAAAATTATCTTTTCCCATGTATGAGCTTTGAAATACCCTCTATTGACTAATCACTGAAGACTCTTTTAATTCTCATCCTTGCTTCATTAAAGCTGCTCTGTTATTAACATAGGAAAGAAAATACCATTAAGATTCTCAAGACAGAAGAAGATCTTTGGGGCTCCAGGAGCAGCCCCTTATTTGAAGCTGCATTTTACAACTCAAACATGATTAAATTAGCAGGAAAATTGCTTCCTTTCAACATACAGTTTGCTGTCAGACTTTTTCTGGAGAGGATAAGCTTTCAGATACAAATAATACACCTGTAAAATCTGAATGATGAATCTAAAATAATCACATATTAAAAATAAAATTATGCATTCCAAAGTGTTGGAAGGCAGAGAAGATTTCTGAGCACACCACCACAATAGAGCCTCCTGGGGACCGCACTGGAGCAGTGACATTCAGTGCACATCCATCCAGAACCGCTTGCTAAAGTAGATTACTAATAAGTTGCAAAGGTCATGAAAAACCCAGAGTGTTTTTTTGGTCCTCTTGAGTCTGGGTTTGATGTTTATACTGTATAAAGAGGTTTACGTTCGGCTAGTTATTGCCACCTTCAGATTTTTTTTTTAGGATGTTGATAGGTAGATCAGGTCATTTGCTGGATTTCCAGATAACTCGACTATGGAGTGATTGCTCTGTGGAGGTGTTCCGTCATCTTCACTCATATTTTCTTACATCAAATGATTGCTTCACTCATATTTTCTTACATCAAATGATTGCAAACATAAAACATCAGTGCAAAATCTCAGTATTGCTTTGTGAAGATTTAAGATCGTAAATTCTGATGTTGAAAAAAAGAAAGGAAAAAAAATCTCAAAAATCTCCACTGTTGTGTGTCAGAGGTGATGAGAATGCTGTGATTTAGCTGTATATTTTGAGTAGTTTTACAAATATGTGTTTTACTCTGATAGTGCAGTCCTTTCTTTTCTGGTCTCGGAAGGGAAAAACAATTGTGTGTTGATGTGCTTCTCTTCACTTTCTTAGAGTGACAGTGCTACCTAGTGCTCAGTTAGAGTAAAGGCAGCTGTCTGCTCTGAGACTGCATTCAAAGTCGATGAATTTATTTCTAGTTTAAAGGCTTATCAGTGGAAACGATGAGTGCACCCAGAAGACAGGCACTCCTCTGGGGTCAGCAGGGCAGTTCTCCATGGGACACAGCACATAAGGCGCACAGGGCTGGCGTGGTGACCTGTGCGGTCTTCCTGCCTGTAAAAACATTTTCAGCCAAGAGTTTTTGCCAGCTCCGTCGACTGTGGGAGAAGACATGGGCAGTCCTGCTCCATCCTTGGGGCTAGGCGAGGAGAAGAGCAGCTCCATAAAGAGCCTGTCCTGTTCAGCCCTGCTGTAGAGCGGTGTGTGAGCTAGCAATGCCATCTCAGTGACAGAACATCCTCTCATCTCATCTGGCATATGGAGATGGAAAGTTAAGCACTTCTAAAGGCGGTTTACTATTAAATGGTGGAATCAAAGATGGCAGAAAAGGAGGAATGAGGAGGAGATCAGATGCAACAGCTGAGGGTAAAATAAAATACATTCTGTCCCCGCCTCTTTGACTGTTGGCAATGGCTAGGAGGTGTCACTCCCAGGAAAGATGCTTCAGGTGTCAGGAGACTGTGAGGATAATAAAAACATGTCTGCATTTATTGATGGGAGGGAAGAATAAATAGAATCCAGTCTTTCTTTTTTAGGAAACGCCTGCTGTGCTGCTGTTCAACTTGTTGCAGAGCAGGTTGGATCACACAGGGGAGATGATGTTGGTTAGGAAAGTTTACTTTTTTTTTTTTTTTGCATAGGCCCTTTTTTAGCAGCTTTGCATGGACTGCTACTCCTAATCCCAAACTCACCGATGAACTGAATGTACAGTCTATTAGGTAGTCCATTTACTTCCATGAAAGAAATTAAGTAAAGGCGGAAACTTTTATTTCCCATGTGTCCTCTATAATTGAAATGAGTGCTTGCTCCAGTCTCGCTCCTGTCTGCTTGGTTTCCATCTCCCAGTGCTCTGTTATCTCCCTTTCAATGTCTTCCTCTCTGTGTAACCTCTGAGAGTTTTGGTCTCAAAGATGTTCGCTTTCTGCAAGAGATCTCTTGCTTTCTACTCATGGATGTCCTGCTGCTTGTCTCAAGGCAATGAAGCTTAACTAGAAGTTATTGTGCTGCTATTATCATACAGGCTATTTCAATATTATTTTCACTATTTTTGTTACAAACTTGTGAGTAAAGGACAAATTTGAGGGCAGTGTAGGTCTGCAGGCCTAAAGAAGTGTTTGCAGAGGGAATAGTCCTTTTATGGCATTCGTAATTCATTCAGCCACTGGTTCACTTGCAGAAAAAGACAGAATTTCTGATTTTATTTTTTAATTGTTGAATTAGATAGTATGTTTTAAAACAGTTGTAGGCAAACTCTCAATCAAAAGCATGAGCAAGTGTGAAATATTGGTTGTTTGTTGCCTTTTCTGTTTGACGCAAGATCTGCATCTTCTCATCACAGTGCCTAAGAAAGCAGGAAAAGGAGATAATCAAGATCAGTGTGAGCTCTCTGCTACCTAAATCCTTTCTGTATAAAAGACTCCTCCTCAGGCTAAACCAGTTTTTCTTTTTAATGCTGCATGTGTCAGAATGTAATCTCTCTTCGCCAGAGTCAAATGGGAACATGCCCAGAATATCTCTGATGTCAGGATGGTCTCGGAAAGTGCTGTATGGTAGATCTGTACGCCCCAATCCATAAAGTAACCAGTCATTTGAAATCCCTTGGAAGTTATTTTATGTATTGTCAATCCTTTACACCTGAGTGGACCTGGGAAGGAGTTTTCATCCTCTGGTGAACATCTGACTAGGTCAACTTAAAGAGAGGATGTGAATGAAGTTGTTTTCTCAAAGCTGTGACATTGGGAAGGATTATGATATTTCCATTTAGGAATTCATGATAGAAGGAGATTCTAGTGGAGTACAGTGTGACAGCAGGGAAATCTCCTGTGGAGGAAACGTGAGCGTCCCCTCGTTAAATGAGAAGAGGTCAAGTGATGCCTGATAGAACCAGCCCATCTCCAGAGGCAGTGCTGTGTGGCTGGCCATGCCCTGCCTCCTGGACTGGCCTTTGGCATCCTGCAAAATCAGTAGGTAACAGAGTAATACTAAATTCAGATCAAATTCCTAATAAGACATGATACTTTTTATCATCATAACAAAGATTATAAGACTAAGGATTTTTCAGGTATCATGTATTCTTTGAAAATGAACAGCTGTCATTAGTAGCATATAAAGACCTGTCCGGTGCTTTTAGCTTCTTTTTGGTACTGCCTCAGATGTAAAACCAACATGCTGAATTACTTTTTCAGAAGTGCCATTAATCTGTGCTCCTCACCATGTCTGAACATTATTGAAAGAAGGATTTAATATAGATTTGAATGTGTCTGTGTCTAACATATAGTTAGATTCTGATGCTGAATCAGAACAGTTCTGTCTTGAATGTGCCACAGCATAGGCCAGTAAACATACAAAACCTGCTGTGGGATACTGGAATCACAGGAACGTTCTCTGGGATCATCTTGGCATTGCCTGGACTTTTCCTGCTGCAACAGGGGGCGCGAGTTCTCCAAAGCCTTGGCTGAGGCACGCTATAGTTTTGGAGACCTCAGTGCTACACAGGGGTTTTTTGATAGTTATAGCATTGTGAAATGCTGCTCTCATGGTATGGGAAGCACATTTCCATGGGCTTGTTTGGGTAGGTGTGTGTTGCATGGTTTCCCATTACTAGTAGGACTTGGAAATGGTGCCCTGAGCCATCTCATCAAGGTCATGTGTTTGTAAGTCTGTCAAGAGCTACCTACTTTTGTTAAAATAGTGTGAGGGTATACAGTCTAGAGAGCAAAACCAAACACTTTTTTCCTGTTTCTGTCCTGTTTAACCTGTGGAAAGCCCCAATCCTTTAATGTACATCAGGTGAATGACTCCCAGGCGCTTGTGTGGGAAGTTGAGCTCTGCCCAGTTGAATGTTTCTTGTTCAGTTGGTGGGAGTTTGGCTGCAGGGTTTGGTTCAGCTGAATGGATGGAATTGAAAAGCTGTTGCCTTTGTTAACCAGTGGTGGTCTGGGTTTTCCGGTTAGTACAGTTGCCTGATGCACCAGCTCAATACCTTTAGCTGGGTCCTTGACTGCAGTCTCAGAAGTATGTTTCCACTCCCTGGACACCAACAAATGCTTCTGAGAAAACAAATATGACAAAATTTCAATGGGTTTAATGCAAAATTAATTTAAAGGGATCTTTAAGCGAATACTAAAAACATGTTTCGGCTTTTTGTCTCTGCAGAGTTTACAGATGCTTCCTCAACAACGGAAAGCCATAGCAAAATTTAAGGAGCCGGCACATGCTTTAGCATTTCAACAGAAATTCCACAGGTAAATAGTTAAGCACTGCTGCTGCCTCAGTTCCTTCCCTCTCTTAAGATTAAATCAGTCTCTTCTGCTCAATGTTTCTCTTAAGCCAATCAAGCATCTGTTTATTAGTGACCTTCATAGAACCTCCTTGTCTGTTCTCCACCCCTAGAATCAGTTTCAGTACCAGGTTTAAATTTCTTTTAACTTTTAACAGGCACATGATAGATCTGTCCCACATAAACGTGGCACTGATAGTTGAGTGATGTCTGCTGAGAGAAACCCTGACACTAACAGAAGCGTACTGTGGAGACACGACGCAGTGGCAAACCATCAGGTTGTGAAACCTTTCAGCTTAGTCTTTAATTGCTATGTTGAACTACGGAAAGCAGCAAGATGTACTCCAGAAGAGCTGAACTTGAGAGGATCTGCAAAGGTGGAAGTTTTGTTCGGTGTGTTCACCTTCTGTTGTAACCACGTGGAACTAGAGATTTTTTTTCAAAATGCTTTCAATGCATGTAGACACTGTTCTTCAAGATCCTACTGTGTCACCACAGTGACTTGAGAGAGAACGTTTACATCGAAAGATTAAAAAACTTTCTTCATAGCAAAGAATATTTGATAATGGTTGCTCTTATCTTCAGTATGAGGTGTTTGAATGAAAACTCACTTTTCTAAACAGAACACATTAGTTATGTTGCATATCTGAGAGCACAGAAGGTATTCTTGCATAGATGTAAACGTGGTCTACTTCACTGAATAGCAGTATGCTGAGAAGCTTTGGAGGTGACACTGGAAAATTGCAGTTTTGATCTTTGTAAATATGTTGTCTGTCTTTGCATTTTTCTATTCCAACACAGACTTCCATCTTCTCTTTCCAATTCAACTTATTCTATAAAACACTGTGTAGAAATAACATTGCTGTATTTTCCCTTGGTTTTTAAAAACAAGGATCTTTGCCCTTCAGTAGCATCGTGGGGTAGTGAACTCCCAAGCTGTAACTAGGTTGTTTTAAATGACGTTACCAGATACAAGGAAGAAGAAATACTTAGTGGCTCACTTCAAAAATGTTACGCAGGAAGAGTGGCGCATTCCTAATAATTCTTTTGGGCTAGCGTTTCATTATTGCCATATGCTTTATTTTGATTAGGTTTTTTTTTTCTTTGAGATTTATTTTGTGACTAATGCTGAACCATAAGAAACCCGCAACTGAAAGGATTTGGTTTGGTCTGTTGTTCCTGATAAATACAGGATTATAAGGACATTGTGAATCTGATGGTGAATGTGGCAGTTCCCAAAAATTCCGTGCAAACGTTAAGGACCTTATATTTTATTCAAAGTAAAATCAGTAATATATCCTTTTGGTTAGAACCATCTAGATGGTGTTGCCAAAGGAACAGTTTTTTTCAGCTGCTTCTGAATAAACTTATTAAAATGTCATCTTTATATTGGATTCCAGTTTTTATGAACATTTATTTAGTTTTTAGACTGTGAGCTTTTGCTTCAACCTTTTTTTAGGAATACTCTTAAGCACTCCACCAAGTGTTTGAAGGGGGGACTTACAGAAACCCTGCAGGTTTGTTACCTGAGTGACTGCAGAAGATCACTATTGGTATGTAATAAAACAGCTACGAGTGGGGTCCAAAATAGGCATGCCAAGTATGGAAGGATGAGCTAAGCAATTTTATAGTAGCATAGATTTTTTTTTTTAAAGATTTAATGGTAACCAAGTCACAAGGACCTAATTGGCTTACAGTTTTGGTCCAGAATTTAAATTAAGTAAAAGTTACTAAAGATAATGATTGAATAATAAATACTGTCAAAAATCTTCTAGGTAAAACTGCTATTTGTTCACAGGAATAATACAGAATAATGTGGTACTTTGGAAACATTGCACTGGGGAAAAAAGATGGAAAGAATACTCTTAAGCCTGTTTACAACTTAGTGCCGAGACACAGTAACATCATGAGAATTTTGGCACAGAAGTGAGTTTTGCACCCTTCTGTGTAGTTCTCTATTTATGCATAATACTTAAATAACATCCAGCACTGTTGCTATACATAAAGTGCTACTAGTGCTTCAGGGTAGACCCAAGCCCAGGACAGAGAATGAGCTGCAGGTAGGAGGTGCCCAGTGGGAGCCGACCCCGAAGACTCACGCAAGGTGATCTGCCCTGTGCTGATTAACTCCTCATACCATGAGCACTAGAAACCCTGCACTGCCTCCCTCAGGTTATGTCGGTTTTAGTTTTAAGAAATAAATGCTTCTCTTTAAACGAGTCGTTAAACAGTTATTCATCCTACTGTTAGGGAGCAGCTTCTCTGTGATGAGAAGGATGGGAAGACATCTTGGAGTGGCGCGATAATAGTGCGTGTCTGGAAATCTGGGTTAGATGCAAACGCCAGACAAACCAGCAGCTGAGTTCAGCAGTAGGAACATCTGCAGTTGATCAGCTGTCCTGTCAGAAGCAAATGTTATTGGGGTTAGAGGGTTTCTTGGAGCCTAAGAATATGGGTTTGATTCAAAAGTCAAAGTAGTTTGTAGTAATGCTCCTGCTTTGGGTTTTGAATCCATCCCAAAGAGGCTGAGGTTCAGACAACTTGAGTTTTAAGAATTTTTATTCACTTGGGTTTTTTAATTTTTTTTTTTTTGAGACAAATGTGTGGCTTTGGAATAAAGGCGTGAAATCGCCTCAGATCTATTTAAATGTAGGATGCAACATAAGCAATGCCTGTTTAATGACTAGATGCATCCTCTTTAAAGGCGGTTGCAATAGATCGTTGCTTGTGCATAGACAGAGTACGAGTGGGTTGCTGGTGGTGATTTTAGCTGCCTGTTGCAGTACCTGGGTATTTTACTGTATGTAAACATTCTATATGTATGTATGTCTATATGTGTTTTATTATACACATACATACATACTCAAACCCTGTATTGTCACCATATCTCTCTACTCTCTTAAACTCAGTAGCAAAAGTAGCACTTAGGTGAGTCATTCATTAAAATGTTTGTATTTTGTTAGTTCTCAAACCCTAACTTAAAAGTGGATCTCTTGGCAATGATCAGTTTGGATGATACAGCTCTTTTAGATCCATTTGTTGTCTCCTCCCAAAAAACTGCAAAGGAAGTAGAGGTAAAGCTAGATGGATGTGTTCTTGCCATGTTCTCTTTCAGCACATAGTTAAATCTGAGCGTCTTAAGTTAACTTTCTCAGAAGATCTGTTGCAACCATTATCTTGTTCTTTCTTTAACATGCATTCAAAATACAATGCAAAAAATGAAAAAAAAAATCATTTAATGTAGTATGTAAATATTGACCTTTTAAAATTAAAATGTTACTCAAAATGCTTACAGTCAACCACATCTTAGCTACTTGTTAGTTTTTTTGTGTTGTCTTATCTAAGTTTGATGGATACAGTTCCATAAATGTTGATGTGTTTTTGTGTATATCTTCAAATTTTTATAAAGATGCTAGTAAGTCAATACATATATCCTGATCTGTGTATTATTTGTTCACAGTTTTTATTAGCATAATTTTATAATGATTTGAATAGGCAACTCCAGTAGCTGATTATATGGAGCCAACTTTTTTTTTTCAAATTATTTTGTTTTCATCTTGTAGCACTGGAGAATTCAATTCATAGCTAATCATATTTTGTCTTTTTTTGAAAGCTTAGATAGGCCATATGATCTGTGGTATTTTAGTAGAATGTTTTACTTTTTTTATTTAAAAAAAAAAATAAAAATCTGTCCTTTAACTTTTGAGGGAAATACAGTGCACTGTCAGACCAAGACATGGGGTTTCTAGGTTCATTCAGTTGTGCTTTACAAGTACCAATTAGATCTGTTGTGTAATACTGTTCTCAAAAGTTTGGGCTATTTTGGTTTTACACATAATTCAAGTTGGTCGTGTAACACCTTGGTTCCTCACAGTGTTAGCAACTCATGTGGCACGTACACCATGTGATGGAATGATATGCAGTGTTGGAAAAGCTTGCTGTCGTCGGTGCTAGGCAGGAAGAGGACAGGTCTGTAGCATCTTCATAGCTGAAGGAGGAGCTGCCATGCAAATGTTTACCTCTAAGTAGTGATAGAGAATAAATTCAGACAGGGATATTGTACTTGGCCTGCATAAATCTCCAATGTGACTTCATGAGAGAAGAGTAGATACCTCATCTGTGAAATATCTTCAGATACCTAATTTATTCCCTAATTTAATTCTGAAGATTCACTTCAGATTTCCAAATTTCTGTAAAAAAAGGTCCTAAGCATTAAAATGCCAAACGGACTGAGCATTTTGGTTCTTTGATGTTAGGTTTCTACTGCAAGGATTTAGGTGAGAGATTTTTTTTTTTTTTTTTTTTTTTTTACAAAACTGTAGGTTATTTCAGAAGAACCTTGAGGGTCTTCGTCATTTTTTCTTAACGTTATCTAGCTACTTGAAATAAGAAAAAACATTTTACTTGTTGCTGAATTTTTAATATTTTTTTAAACATAGTGTCTTCTATCTGCTTAGCTGAAAGTTGTGCCATTTTCCCTGAAGCTGCTGTAGGCGCTTCCTACCGTTACACACAGTAACTGCGTGTCTGTATGTGTGTGTGGGTGCATTGCCCCTGTAGCTGGGGTGAGAGGGTGGGCAGGAGGGAGCGGGGTTTCATTTCTTGGGGGTTTTTTTGCCTGTTTTTTTGTCTAACTCAGGAGATATCCTGGATTTGTTCTCTGGTGTAGTATTGTGTTGTTCTTGTCCTTCGCGTAGTACTGTGCTTGTTATGTGGGTCATGGTACTTGAAGGTAGAAATCTGGCTTCACCTATGCACTGTCAAAAAGGCATTTTTGTTCAGAGAGACATGAACCTTTTTTTTAAACAAAATATTTTTTTGTGCTTTTAATTTTTTTTAGCAGCATGTTGCATGAGAAATTAAATGTGAAGGAAACAAATATTGAACAGATTGCAGAAAGTTAGCTGTATTATAAAGGTCATTTAGGGTAACATAGGGCTTTTGTTTCAATGTTACCTTAAATCATGTCTTAACCACCAAATAATTCATAAACATAATACTTGAAAGTATTTTATTTTCAATTAGTATCAAATCCTAAGGATTTTACGTAAGGTTTTTTGTAACCTGATTTTTTATCATGGAGATGACTTATTATTCACATGAGCACAGGGTCTTGTGTACGAAACCACTGATTCATATTGGATCCTTACGTATACCATCTTCTGGTATAATATGGTTGGGAAGGATCATTTTGTTCTTTAAAACACTGCTTTTTGCAGGGTTGGGTTTTTTAATTTAAAAAAAAAAACCCTCTGATTTCTACTTCTGTGCTCTTTTTGATGGAAAGTGTGGTCCTTCTTGCTCTAAAGAAAACCTCAAGAGGAAAGTTAATCTCACTGGGTCTTTTAGGTGCCTGTGTTGCTTTCTCACTTCTTGGTTGGATGCACTGATTTTTTCTAACTAACTGGAAATGGGCTTGATATATACACTATTTTTCAACAGATTCCACTGCCTTTATTTAATGTAACAACACTTGGGTTAAGTGATTTTTACCATTTATATAATTTTAAACAGTATTACAGTTTAAGAATATGTTTGTAAAGGAACTTGTATACAGTTAAATGTGGCTGCATTTGCAATGTTGCATGTAGTCACTTGGAAGATCACGATTTAAAACACTGCTGTATTAACATGATGTTCATCCAGTGGTTCAGGATTTTCTTTGTATGCTTCTAATGGTTTTTAATATGCGTTGCATTTTTTCCTAGGATCTGTCAGGCTGACTTTGGAACCTTATAGTTTTATTTCTATTTATATAATAACAACACCATTTTTTGCAGAATTTCTTTTGCAGGTGGTGAAAAGTCTTTCAGTGTTTTAACTAGTAATTAATACACCTTTTCAACAAAGACAAGGTGCTAACGCACATTTATTCACAGCTGATCTTCCGTACCATCGCATCCAATTTGTACTGATACAAAGTGCCGTTAGGATAAGTCATCTTTCTTTTTTCCTGTGGTACCCTTTTCCTCTACCCTGTGCTTTCACTCATT